CCCCCCGCTCCGGGATTTACAGTCCGAGGCAACTGGCCGTAAAATGAGCATTTGTCCAAACCTCTATTTAACGAACGTAAACAACCTCATTTTAACGGAGTCCGCGATCAGTATAACAAACGATATTGTTCGCCCTCAGTAATAGTAAAGTATGGTTCTAAACAGATCTCGTGACATTCCAGTTAACTCAATGACGTCACAGTATCGAGCGACTTCGTCAGTATCGGGCGTACTCGGTCACGGGTTTCGATCGTAAAAAAAAAACGGTATCGGCCCATCTTTGTCCAATGGGTCGCCGGAAGAGACTGTGGGTTCTCTGGGGGCGCTTTCCAGTCAACCATTATATGATTCCTTCCTTCTTTAACCATATCTGAACAATGTTTTACATAACATTAACTTCAGGGCGTTATCCGCTCAAACTCCGCTATGCAAAAAACAAGATTTTTGTTTTTAAATTGTAATCAATAGCAAATTTTGTAATTTTTTAGAGACATTTTAGTATCATTTTACTACAAGACCAATATAAAACCCTAATACAGTTGGCAGTCAGAGGAGGAGCAACACTCAGCAAATTGTGGCTACAAAAGAAAACTGCATTGCTGTTCTCCCGACTTCTCACCCATCTCCCCCTGTCACCAGTCGCCCCCACCCCTCACTCCTCACAGCTAAAATCGTCGGCAAAGACTGCTTTGTGGCCACTCCTTCTGGGGTTCGTCATTTGAAGAAAACATGGCGGTGCCTGAGCGGCGGGTTCAGAGGTTGGAAGATTGATGTAACGTTTTTTCCTGCGTGCTAGAAGTTTTATAGAAGCGTAAAAGCAATCTTACTGTTAAAAATAATGGAAGGAAGAGACAGGGACGATTTTGAAGGAGGAAATGAACCTTGGGGCTTCACAAACTGGGAAAAGCAATGCATTGAACAGCTAGAGTCGCAACCCGACGTTGACGAGAGATCCGCTATTGAAAAAGAGCAAGCATTGCAGCGGTTAAGGAATTTGTTTCAAAATGCAGCAACGGCCTGTGCCCAACTTTATAAAGGTAAGGTGTTTGCCCTTAAGGTCCTGTAAGCCAACTATTGCCGTCAAGTTCAGGCGAAGTTTCTGCGACTGCAACGACATCAAACCCTTTCATCAATTGTGTTTTTTCCGCAGAACGTCACAATCGCAACCAAACATGTGATCGCCTCTGGAGTCCTTTTCAAGACACTGCAAACACGATAACTCTTCTGTACAAAGGTATAGTATTCCCTTCAATATATTTTTACATGTTTAAACTGTGATCCCAGATTTTCAAGCGCGTGGTCGACTCGTCTTCTTCATACGCAATTTCTTTCGAAACGGCATTTTAATTTTCCCATAAATTACGATTACGAATAAACATAAGTTCAATGAAAGGATAATTATGTACTGTGGATTTCCTTTGTCATCGTTCGTTCCTTTTTCCATCGACAATAATTTAACGAAAAAAGTTCCGAGAAATGTAAGTAAGATTTCCTTTTATTAAACAAGAAGGATTTCTTTCTTCAAACACCTCGTCAAGTTGTATCTCTAAAGTATCCTTGAATGTTCCAGGTTAGTATAGGCGTTTGAGATGTAAATTGTAAAGGTAATTTTAAGAAAGATTTTATACTAGGTGACGTTTGAGTTATGCAGTTATTCTGTACCCCGTTTACTTTTATGCGTTTCGTAATTATCTAATTATGCACGACGTTGTAATCGATTTGCTGCGCTCTAATCATGGCAAATTATCGGCATGGGAGATGTTGGAGTACCTGTTGCAGCATAAAATTTCTTTCATCTCAGTCATTTCTAGTAACTTCTTGTGTTTGAAATTGCTAAGAATCTAATATTAGTTTGATTGTTTTGGAAACATATTAAAGAAGTATTATAGGTGTTCATTTTTCTGGAATGCAAAATAGTTTTGTTGGATAATTGGACTCCAAATGATTCTCTTTTGCCAAATAACTTTTAACGTACCATATAGTGATATGTTTGCATACGTTTTTGTTTACACAGCTTTACCGATCTTTTTATACTTCAGGCATTCAAAGTGGCATAAATTTCAGGATGCAATCTGTTGTCTAAAAATAACTTATGTCCTTTCCTTTTCTCCTCCCATTTCTTCTTAAATGTGCCACCTTTTTATGATTGCTAAGGCCACAGGGCTGCATTCATTAACAGGCCTATTTGTTGCAAAATATTTTAGAAGCCACTTACATGTATGTTTTTCTCTAAGGCAGTAGTTTTGTTGTGTAATTCCTTAGGTTACAAGTATGGGTAGTCCTCTTTTTTTCTCAGTATTTTTTGTGAGTAAGCATGTAAGCTAAGTGTTTGCAAAATTACCTCTCGCAACATCTAGCAGTGGAGAAAAATATAAGTGGTTGATAAAATTCCACTTTGACATGGATAAAACAATTCTGTAGTAACAGAAATGATGAATTACAGAAGTTATAAAGTCAGTGCTTTTAGCAGGAAACTTTTTTTGGATGATAATCTTAAGTGGTGTCTGGACCATTAGCTTGTCTTCCTAACCTTCAGGTATAAATGTATGGTAACTGGTTTGTTGATTTACGTAATTTTTCTTTCAGATGGTGCTGATGCCTTCAAGCGTGGTTTGGACTTGGGGTACCAGTCTGGATATCAAAAACGTAGTAAAGATGTTCTTTCTTGGGCCAAGAAGAAAAAGAAAATTATCCTTCGTGAGGAACTGTTGTCTTATTTGGCTGGCCGTTCACCACCCAGACGGACTCATGAAGTGAGAAACACTTCAACTACAACTTTAGGGTCAAATTCAATGGTTTTGCCCTCTGGAATGGACTCCGATATTGTTGACACTGGTGTACAGTGCTATGGTGCACCTTTGGATACCTTTGCTGTCCGACCAGAGCTTAACACAGCTGCTTTCTTTGCTGCTGCAGGGGGCCTAGGTTCTTATCACAGTCCTCGTCGTAGAAGTCACTCTGATGCAAACTATGGTGATACAGAAGTGAGAGAGGGAAGAAAGCGTTCCGCTTGTTCAACAGACATAGTTATGGAGTCTCCTTCGCACAAACGAAATCGCTATTTCTAAACAGAGTGTTATAGAAACTCCATTAATTTTGTCGAATGAAAATATGTAAGATAGATATAAAATGCTGTGATGCTAAGAGAACAAACTTTCTTCTATGTAATTCTGTTTTGTTAAGCTTTTGGTACAGTTAGGTTTGTTAACTAAGCTGTACTCTGTTCCACATGAATGATAATAGTTATAAAAATATAGTGTGAAAACCTTATTGTCAAGCAACCTGTAATGTTGTGCTTGTTTTCCCTCTACGATAGCTGACTTTTCATCTTGGTTGTCAAACATTTCTTAGATACAGATTCTTACTCTGACAGTGCCTCTCTCCACCCAGAACCAGTTTGATGAAAGGTTGGATAACACTATCCACAAGAATATATATCTTATTAGATGTTTTGGTGTGTAGTATCACACTTTATCATACGGCTAGCTCGGTGAGTGGACAAGATGAACAAAATCCTTAGGTGTGATTGGCTACCCAACCGGGCAAGATGGCACTATCTTGCCCACTCTGGATATCTCGCCGTATCCCGCAAGAAAATGGTGTTCTTTTTCCATACAATAAATCCTTTATTGACCAAGCTTGTCCGGTTAAGATGGCTGGATATTTGCCTCATTCTTTTTTTTTAACATGATTGTGGACCTTGACTCCGTCTCAGTCCATAAACACGCAAAAAAAGAACTTGGCCAATATCCAACCATCTTGACCTCATGCTTAGTCAATAACTCATATTTATTATATTACTTGTGTTTGTAGCCGATATAACATGCACTGATTGGCTAATTCTATGGCATTATTCTCCCGTAATGTCCACAGGCCAATTATGGGCTCGCAAAACCAAAGCAAAAAGCCATGTAATAAACAACTTATTAACCTTGAACGTTCGGTCTCTACCGGTCTCAAACCTCGGCCTTGCTGTATTGACCTGGCTATCACTCTGTCAATATGGGAAGGTTTGAGATTTTCCCATAAAGACCTTAGTCTTGGTTAATAAGTAATATATATTTTTGCAAGTTGTGCTGTATTAAGAACCCATGGGCTGAGTCAAAATACAAACAATGAGTAAAAAATATCCAGTGATACTACACATCAAAACATCTAATAAAAGGTTTATTCAACTGCCGTAGTCAATAGATTTATCGGCAAAAGTGGGAGAGTTTGACGATTTTGAATCAGGTGGGTCAACCTCTCAATCAGTTTTTCTGCTGTGAAAATAACTACACAATATTGCTCTAGAATATTATTGTACTTGTTTCGAGCGTTATTTTGACCATATTTGCTGCAGTTGGATGAAAGGTTCTATCTGATGTTAATACTCACTGGTTATTGAATTCCTGAGTCGATAGTGCCATCCGTACGAGTAGATGCTGCAGATTATACCCAAAAGGCCCCTCAGGGCAGTGGCCTCATGGTTGGTGCGCCCATCTCCAGATCGAGTGGTCTGGGTTCGAGCCCTGGCCAGGGACGTCGCATCGTGTTCTTGGGCAAGATACTTTACTCTCGCAGTGCCTGCCTCCCTCCACCCAGGTGTATAAATGGGTACTGGCAAACTTGATGCTGGGGGTAAACCTGTTATGGGCTAGCGTCCTATCCAATGGGTAGTAGAAATACTCCTAGTTGTTTCATGCTACAGGAAACAGGATAAGCTCTGGCCTGATGGGCCACTTGGCTCGTATGCAGACTTAACCCTACCCATCTCTCAGAAGGCAAGTGATACCACAGTGAGTGGGCCATCAGTTTGTTTGCACTGTCTCTGCTACAGGAAAGAGGAGACTAGATGTTCACTGTTTCCAGCAGCACTATACCTTTCATGCTCAGAGGTAAGTGCCCAGAAATGAGTCTTTTTCTGGGCACTTATATCACATACATATTAAAATAGCTGCGGATACCACTGCAGCTCATTTTCTTGTTTCTTTCTTTGATCCTTTGCTCCAGCCCTACCTGTTGAGGTAACATTACATGGCTAGCTCTGTGAGAGGGTACAGTGAACAAACTCCTAACCTGTGATTGGCTACTCAAGCAGGTTAATGGGCCTATCTTGCTGGCTTTTCATTGCCTTCTGGTGTCCATCAAGAGGAAAAAAGGTTTCGTTTAGTCAGGGTGGCTGGATATTGGCCTAGTTTATTTAGGGGATGTGATTATATTATGGACCTTGATTGCCTCCTGAGGCCAGTTTCTCGAAGGTCCCAAAAAGTTTTTGCGCCCGGAAAGCTGGAGAAAAATCTCAAACCTTATGACCACAGAGCTGTTCTTTTCACATATTTTCAGTGTAAACAGAGGTTCCATTCAGTACAAGAAGTTTGAGGCATGTATGTTGTAGGTAAAATTTGTTCTCAGGTTAAAACAGTATTCCAACTAGGTCAAATCTGTAGTCTGTATTAAACCTAGGTTAAATCCCTACTTTGTAATTGATGTGTTAAGTCTTTAATTAAACTAGATCAAATGTGTACCAAATGTAATTTGGAGAAAATTTCATTACCCCTGAGAGTTCAAAATAGTGGGGTTCAACTGTACTGTTGTAATGAGCTCAGTTTCATGTTCAATGGTTATTTTCCCCCGATCTTTGTAGTCTTAGAAGTGCAAGTAAGGAAACAGAAGAGGGTGACAAAGACCAAGACCACTTCCTTGTACTTGACCATCTGAAAGAGAAACTGCAATCTCTCGTCTCAGTCGGTGTCAAAGCATGCACCAGAGGAGCTACAGAGAATTTCTGTTATGGGACTTTTAAATAGTACTTCATTGCAGGATAGCAACTCCCCTTATGTATGATAAAGGTTGACCAGAGAAAGAACAGTTTTCAGTGAGCATCTATATTAAAAAAAGTGTAGAAGTAACCCTATTTAAACCATTTGGTGGTCAAAATAGTTTATTTTGATGCATGAGAACATGGCTGCAGAATCTTTTATTGTTTTGGAATGCATTCAGGTACAAAACAGGAAGCATCAGTTTATCTCAGGGGTGATTAGACACTACTACAACATCATATTTAACAATCTTACAGGACAACCACCAGTAAAAATAATTTTCTTTAATAATAACTACAACTTGCTAAAATTGGCATTACTGTGGAAAACAAATACATTCACATTATACCAGTGGCAGTGCTTCTTCTGTCTCGTGGCATGAAACAAACTCTAGAACTTTGTATTCAACATCTTAGAATTAGCAGGGCCAATTTTAGANTCCGGGATTTACAGTCCGAGGCAACTGGCCGTAAAATGAGCATTTGTCCAAACCTCTATTTAACGAACGTAAACAACCTCATTTTAACGGAGTCCGCGATCAGTATAACAAACGATATTGTTCGCCCTCAGTAATAGTAAAGTATGGTTCTAAACAGATCTCGTGACATTCCAGTTAACTCAATGACGTCACAGTATCGAGCGACTTCGTCAGTATCGGGCGTACTCGGTCACGGGTTTCGATCGTAAAAAAAAAACGGTATCGGCCCATCTTTGTCCAATGGGTCGCCGGAAGAGACTGTGGGTTCTCTGGGGGCGCTTTCCAGTCAACCATTATATGATTCCTTCCTTCTTTAACCATATCTGAACAATGTTTTACATAACATTAACTTCAGGGCGTTATCCGCTCAAACTCCGCTATGCAAAAAACAAGATTTTTGTTTTTAAATTGTAATCAATAGCAAATTTTGTAATTTTTTAGAGACATTTTAGTATCATTTTACTACAAGACCAATATAAAACCCTAATACAGTTGGCAGTCAGAGGAGGAGCAACACTCAGCAAATTGTGGCTACAAAAGAAAACTGCATTGCTGTTCTCCCGACTTCTCACCCATCTCCCCCTGTCACCAGTCGCCCCCACCCCTCACTCCTCACAGCTAAAATCGTCGGCAAAGACTGCTTTGTGGCCACTCCTTCTGGGGTTCGTCATTTGAAGAAAACATGGCGGTGCCTGAGCGGCGGGTTCAGAGGTTGGAAGATTGATGTAACGTTTTTTCCTGCGTGCTAGAAGTTTTATAGAAGCGTAAAAGCAATCTTACTGTTAAAAATAATGGAAGGAAGAGACAGGGACGATTTTGAAGGAGGAAATGAACCTTGGGGCTTCACAAACTGGGAAAAGCAATGCATTGAACAGCTAGAGTCGCAACCCGACGTTGACGAGAGATCCGCTATTGAAAAAGAGCAAGCATTGCAGCGGTTAAGGAATTTGTTTCAAAATGCAGCAACGGCCTGTGCCCAACTTTATAAAGGTAAGGTGTTTGCCCTTAAGGTCCTGTAAGCCAACTATTGCCGTCAAGTTCAGGCGAAGTTTCTGCGACTGCAACGACATCAAACCCTTTCATCAATTGTGTTTTTTCCGCAGAACGTCACAATCGCAACCAAACATGTGATCGCCTCTGGAGTCCTTTTCAAGACACTGCAAACACGATAACTCTTCTGTACAAAGGTATAGTATTCCCTTCAATATATTTTTACATGTTTAAACTGTGATCCCAGATTTTCAAGCGCGTGGTCGACTCGTCTTCTTCATACGCAATTTCTTTCGAAACGGCATTTTAATTTTCCCATAAATTACGATTACGAATAAACATAAGTTCAATGAAAGGATAATTATGTACTGTGGATTTCCTTTGTCATCGTTCGTTCCTTTTTCCATCGACAATAATTTAACGAAAAAAGTTCCGAGAAATGTAAGTAAGATTTCCTTTTATTAAACAAGAAGGATTTCTTTCTTCAAACACCTCGTCAAGTTGTATCTCTAAAGTATCCTTGAATGTTCCAGGTTAGTATAGGCGTTTGAGATGTAAATTGTAAAGGTAATTTTAAGAAAGATTTTATACTAGGTGACGTTTGAGTTATGCAGTTATTCTGTACCCCGTTTACTTTTATGCGTTTCGTAATTATCTAATTATGCACGACGTTGTAATCGATTTGCTGCGCTCTAATCATGGCAAATTATCGGCATGGGAGATGTTGGAGTACCTGTTGCAGCATAAAATTTCTTTCATCTCAGTCATTTCTAGTAACTTCTTGTGTTTGAAATTGCTAAGAATCTAATATTAGTTTGATTGTTTTGGAAACATATTAAAGAAGTATTATAGGTGTTCATTTTTCTGGAATGCAAAATAGTTTTGTTGGATAATCGGACTCCAAATGATTCTCTTTTGCCAAATAACTTTTAACGTACCATATAGTGATATGTTTGCATACGTTTTTGTTTACACAGCTTTACCGATCTTTTTATACTTCAGGCATTC